GGGGGATGCAAGGATCTCTTAATACCCGATTTTTCCAGGAAATGGGAGGATCATGATAATCGCTTAAAACCCCATTTTCTTAGACGTGCATCTCTTTATAAAGAGTCAAAGTAAGTGGCGCTATGTATTCGATTAAATTATTGAAAATAACCAATACGATTAAATTGTTTCAAATTTATTTTATATTCCACTAAGTACATTAGAAAAATAAAAGAAAGATAAATGATGAAGAATTGTATGTACCGGGTGATCGTTCCAAACATCCCTTGAACGATGGTTGGGTTGGTCGTACAAGTCGATTGGATCAATAGGCCCTTGATCCAAATAATACCGTTGGTTGTATATATTCACGTCGCAACCAACAGACCACTATTTCCTAGGCTTTTGGGAGGGGAGGGGTTAGAGAGATAATTCTAGAGAGAGAGAGTGAAGAATGGTTGTGGTGTGAAGAAATGAGAGGGGGGGAGGGGCGGTCTGGTAATTTCTCCCACCTTGAAACCGCTCCCTTCCGATGCGGTCTGTAGTTCCTGAGGCGCTGACCGCTCCCTGCAGCTGCGGTCTGCGATCCATGGCGCGGATCGCTGAGGTGGCGTGCGTTCTGCCGCTGGATCGCCACCTGATCCTACGGTCTCCAAGCCCGCTCCCGAGGAAACACAGACCGCACCTTGGAGGTGCGGTTCCCTGTCTGACGTGGCGCAAAACGCACCTCCAAGGTCCGATTTGATAAAATGGTGCTATTTTTGTAAATTTTGTGAGCTAGATGCTATTTTTGTAATTTTTTTAATACATGCTATTATTGGAAAAATCCCACAATTCTTATCGTCATGCCGATCGATTTGGATAACTCTTCCACCGCTTCAGGGGAAGTTAGCGACTCTTCCACCAGAGGAAATAACCTTTCTCAACCTTCACAGTCCACCACCGCCACCCCCAAGACGAAGCTGAACCTCCCTGAGATGCGAAGTTCTTTAATTAGACCAAATCGATTTGAAGAATTTAGGGGGAAGACTGAGAATCTCTTGTGAGAAATCGGATTTTGGGTTTTTGTTCTCTTGCTTTCTCTGTAGATCCAGAAGTTGAAGTGATTGTTCTGTCGCCGAAGACTCTAATGGCGACAACCAGAACTTGAAGCATCATGGGCAAGGCCATAATCTGTCGTGGAAGCTCAGGCAGTGATTGGGGAAAGAAGTGGAGAAGAGAGGAAAGATGGAAGCTTTACTAATAAAATAAAAAAATGGGATAACGGTTGGGAGCAAAGATAGACCATGATTCTGTAAAGAAAAAGATAGACCATGGGTTGGGGAATCTATATTGTTGTCATGCTGGTCGATAGTGTGACTGGATCTACCGGAACGATTAGTGAACATATTATAGTCGGGACGATTCAAATCCTCTTCACCACCTGCTTTTTTTAGATTCCCCTGTTTTCCTTTCAGGAGGAGACCTTGTTGGACTTTGCCACTCCGAACTGCTCTAGATGGAACAGACTGACTTCTCTACAACTCACAAATCTTTCGCCCAAGCCCCTTCCCGCATTAGGCTACGACACAAACCCGTACCGGTCGCCGCCAAAAGAGAGAGCGGTGGTGGGAATGATTTTGCGTCGGAAAAGGGAGGTCGACTCAGACAGAGACGTAGCCATCAGTGAAAGAAGAGGAAGATTGGGGTTGGGTTACATGACATTGCATATTTTAGTGACATGGCGGGTTACTTTTTAATTTTGTTGAGCCAAAATTTGGTGACTAGACTTTCTGGTAGCCATGTCAGTAAAAAACTAACGGTGTTAAGAGAGGATGACGGAGAGTGATCAATTATGAAACGTTAAGCATTTCCAGTGACCACGAATGAAATAAAATTCTTTTAGTGACCAAAAGTGAATATTTTAGTACTTTCAGTGACCAACCTTGCAATTTACCCTATTTTATAAGGGGATTGCTATTCGTCGCCCTAAAAACCCTTATTCGTCGCCCTAATTATATTAAATTTACTTTAATGTCCCTAGTTTATTTTGTTTATTTTTCAAACAATTAAAACCTAAAATAAATAAATACACCCACTAGTTGCCGGAGCCGGCCACCTCATAAGCATAGTTAGTAAAATACGGTGCGGAAAAGTTACGTAAAAAATACGTACGGGTATTTTACATCGTCTATAAGCTACAGTTACGTTTCATAGTACGTTAATAGTAATAAATATATAAAAAATAATTATTTTAAAAATAAATAAATAAATAATAGTAAAGTTCATAGTTTAATTTATTAAATACGGATATTAAATGTGTTATACGGGTTTTATACGTGTTTAGTACGGGAGCCATCCAATGAACGGAAAATAATGAAACGACTTAACAATAATACAGAGACGGAAGTTTTAAACGGATAAAGTACGTACAGGTATATATACGTATATTAAACGGAGTATTTACTAACTATGCTGGCATAATAGTAGACGTTATCACTATATGAAGAAAGAAGAAGAACAGAAGATGATCACACATTAGTTTACCAAATGAACTAGCATAGGGCCCGGCCTATTGGCCGGGGGAGTTTTATCATGGGATTTGAAATCTTGTATTCGTTTTTTGTCCCCATCCTCGTTTTTATTTCATTAGAATCTCTGGCAGAGGAAAAGACTACATGTGATTGTTTGTTTTGCTTCTTATCTGGAGATGGGCAAACGTGTGAGTAAAGTTTCTCGATATTCGTTTTTCATTTCCTCAAGCGAAATTGGGGTTGCATAAAAAAATCTATTGTAAAAAGATTTGTGGAGCTTGAATGCGTAAGGGCATAAAGAACAATCCACTTTTGACCCTTGGGTGGGGGGGGGGGGGGATTGCATTTCTCAAAGCTACTATAGTCAGTGATACGATTAGTTCCATGGAGGCTTAGGCATCTAACTCATATGACTCTTTAGTCAGAAATACTTGAATCTCCTAATAGTGACTAATGTAAGTTCATAGCAGTGTTGGTTATGGTACGTTTAATAACTTCAATTATAATCTTGTAAGCATGAGTCCTGAATAAAAAGACTATTATCAGTTGTCATGAGCAATCCTATTTTATAAACTTATTTGCAACTAAAATTGTTGTATTTCTAAATTATACCATTTTCTTTATCATGCTAATTAATTGATTTAATCGGCGTATAACATAAGGATTTAGCCAGTCAATCTAACTCAGACAAATATTAAAGATTACTTATAAAGCCGGTTGGTCAAATATTTTGACATAAGATCTTTGTCTACTTCCATAAGATCATCTTATTCTTATCTAAGGCTCAAATTAGGAAAAACAATCATTCTACCAATGCATAACACCTTAAAATATAAACATCATTGGATAAAAAATGAAAGTATAAAATACATGTTTCTCAAACTCAAAGGAACAACCATAACCCTAAGATAGGATCAATATGTACCTTCATCTCCTTCGGTCTCAATTGAGTTTCCATTATATATAGCTTTTATGTCTGGACTGTGAAGGTATTGTCAAACTTCATCTGCTATATATTGACCAATTTTGAGAGGGACAGTGTTACTTGCGGATAAATAACTAATGATTTATAATGTAAATCTAAGTATTGATTGGCCATTGCGAACTATTCAGATAACAAACATACAATATTCATATAATAATATAAAATAGTCACGCAAGCATCAATAGAAAGAGATTAAAAAACACATAGAAAGCTAACAAAATTATAATCTTCCGCACTGAAAAGAATAGAAAGCTAAGAAAAGAGAGAGAATAGAATCAGTCAACTGAGTCAAGTGAATAAGGCGGGAGAAAATGTGAGTGGGCCTCATATTGATTCTAGATGAGAGCTCAAAGTGAAAAGATATTGAATAAGATGGGAATAATGGGCTTTAGCCCATTTGGCAGCCGTCAGGTGTGGAATGGCTTGCCGGAGCGACGCGAACTGATGCAGAGGAAGGGGAAGATGGGCAGGGAAATTTACAGCGAGGGAGATACAGTCTCAGTCTGGGTTCAACTTCTCCGAGGCAAACGAAAATGGTCGGCAATATAACGCAATTAACACAGGCAATCGCGATCCTTCTCCTCTTTCATGCACTGATCAAGAACAAAATATTATAAAAGTAGATCAAAATAAAATGAGCGATAATAAGACAGAAAGCGAGGAAGAGAAATTGCGGAAGATGGGGAAGCCTCTCCGAATTGTGCGGCAGTTGGGAAGTGATGGGTTCAGAATTGACAATAAAAGCCTTCCGTACTGTGCGGACTTTTCAGCAAAGGCTGATGTGACAAAACCTCTTTATTGACATTGCTTTATAGTGTTTTGTAGATCACAATTTATTTAATTATAATCACCAACAGCTTCTGTATAGCATGAGTCCTTCAACCCCACCAGAAACAGACAAACAGATAAAATTAGTAAACAAAATCTTGGCTGCAGAATATTATTGGCTGACGAAGCCTCTGAAACAAAGCAAAGAAGCTCTCAAAGAAGGGTTGTTTATTAAATCATATGATTCTCAAGGGGCCTAATTGTTTATTAATCATTCTTCTTCGCCCTCCTTCTTCCTCTTGGTCGACAGCAACCATGCAAAGCAGCGGTTGCGGGGAGCGATTCTGGCGGCAGCAACGGTGACGGGGAGCGACTCCTGGCGGCGGTAGCAGCGACGAGGAGCGAATCCGGCAGCAGGACAACACGACGGGAACAGTTCTTTGGTCGGCGGCGGATACCAGTTCCGGGGTGGACGACGACTTTTTTGCCCGAGATTTTGAGAGTCGGGTTTGGGTTTGGGTTTGGGGATGGATCGTTTGATAGGTTTAGTTTGGGTTTGAAATTAGGGGCATATGTGTCAATTTAACGTGATTTAGGGCGATTTTTTTTCGAATTTTAGAGTGACGAATGACAATTCAGTTTTAATAATTATCCAAGGGTCTTTAGGTAAATTACAGCGACCGGCCGGTCTAGGGTAAGTGGTATGCTTGACGAATGACGATTAGAGAGTTGAGATACTTGAGGCTTCGTGCAGACAAATTTGTGTAGTGAATGAGTTGGTGACCCGGCGGGAAAGAGATATACAGACGGCGATTGGTCACTGAGCGCAACCGTAAACCGCCGCTGCTGTATGCTCTTCCGTAGAACTCTGGTCGTGATTTCGAAGGATTAGATCGCAGGAATAGGGTTTCCGTGGAATGGCGCCCCTAAAATGTCAGGTTTGTAAAGAATCAAAGTCCAAATACAAGTGCCCTAACTGCGTCGCGCCATAGTAAGCTGCAACCTGAACTAGAAACCCCTTTCTTTCTCTTACTTTTGTTATTCGTCCTCTTTTCTCAACCTCATTCAACTTCCGTTTTGCTTGCAGTTGCTCTCTGGGCTGCTTCAAGAAACACAAAGGTTCCGACTTTTTCTTTATTTTCCCTCGTCTCTCTGTGTGTCAATTCTTTGGTTCTGTATACCGATTGAACGGCAGGGCAGTTGTTGTACCAATTGACTGTGTCATCTGAATGTCGATTAAAGCAGAAATACCTTGTTCAAAGCCGGCAGCGGAGGGTCCTTTGGCTAAGCCTGCATCCGCCCAGAACGAGACACCAGGTGAGGATCCAGTTCTCTCATACTACCTTTCTCGGTTGAGTAGCTTAGCTAGCCGCTGTACAACAGCAACATTGTTTCAGGGAAATGGATGATGGGAAGGGCAACTGGACAAATGAACATCTAGTCCGACATAAAGGAGGAGATCCTTAAAAGGGTCTTGTCTTGCCTCTACCATTAGCTACACCTCTTTGGTGTAATATATAGCATGTTCTATACTTATTATCTGTTATTTTTCTGGTCATTATCTTCTTAATCTGTCCATAGCATGTTAAAGCACGGAATTTTGATTGTAGCAATAAGCTATTGATTTAATTTGAAATACGCTCATGCTGGAACGGGACTTATTTGGATATGTTTACAGTGAATGATTCCATATGGTTGTGGTTAAGGTGTTAATCAAGGATTTTTTTTTTATGAAATTTGTCCTGATTTGCACTTTTCATCTTGAAGTTCCTGCTGGTGAAGTGCAATGGCATGCAGAGCGTCCGTTAACTATTGATGATCCTACCATGGTGCTAGAGACATCTCAGCTGGAGTCTCTAGGTACGCTTTGGGTGTTTGTACCTTCCTGAAAGGATTGTTATTAGATAATATGGTCAGTTGAACAGCCATCACTGTTGTTGAACTCTATTGTTCTTCTGAGGTTTCTGACTTTAATCATACATATGCATCAGCTCCCATCTTTTAGTTGGCTAATGGTAGTGTGAGGATTTAAACCTTTATAATACTCTAGGCTGCAACCTTGGGCCAGCAACATTTCCTGCCTAAAAGGACAAACCGAAATATATGAACTCTCTTATATAGCGATACAGAATCACGAAAGGGCAAATATGTAGTTATTGTGCTTGTACTGAATGCTTCTTTTGGTAAGTAGATATTTCACACTGCGTTGAACCTTATTGTGTAATTTCTTGGATGTCTTTATTTGGGTTTACTGATTTTGATTACTAGTACCATAAACTTTAACTCCTGGAAGCATGAGCGGCTACCAGCTTGGTAATAATTGAATATAGTTCCTTTGAATCAGCTTTTTCGAGTGAAATCTGTGATGCTTTGAAGGATGACAACTTGCAGAAGCTGATCCTTAGCGTTGACTCTTCTCCAGATCCAGAAAGCGTACGCATTGTTTCTTTCTCTTATTATTTGGGGAATAACATGAAGAAACCCTGCTGAAACATACCCTTAAACCCCCTTTCCAGGAACTTGCGAAAGCCATGGAGACAGATGCATTTCGAATCTTTGCTGATAAGGTATTCTCGATTTACCCTTATGTAATTTTACCACCTGGGACTCAATCTGCCTATACAAATTCATAGTTGCCGTGTGCTTAAAGTGTTCTATTTTTAGATTTTGTCCATCGTAGGTCCATTGCCGTGATCACTTGTGAACCTCCGTTCAACTAGATTGGAAGCCTGAATTGAGGCAACATGCTCCCCAGTGGAGTTATGGATGAGCAGAAATACAGTCGGCTGTGCAGCAGAAGATGGACCATCTTAACTTTGATGGCTTGAGCTACATCTCCCTGGCTCACGAATAATATCCAACGGGATTTTATGGCATATTGTTTTCTCAATGTGTTCTACCATCTAAATATATGTCATTGTCATATGCACTCGTTAAAAATGTTTCACTGTAGTAAAGTCATCTGTTCACATCTTGCCTTAGCATAGGTGTAGCAAATTTTCAAGACTGCAATCGTTTATTTGGGGTTAAATCGTCAATTATTAGCAATAAGCTGATTAAATTTTTTCTAGGTCGTTGATCGTGTAATTTCCAAAATACACTTGTATAGCCAATACTTTCATGTTTGTGCCAATAACAGTCAAATTTGGAGAAATACAACTTATAGTCAGATTTTCTAGTTGTTGTATGACAAATGTAACCATTTCTGTTACTTAATCGTCAACTTTTTTGACGGTTCGTTGGCTAGACTCCCACTTAGCCCACACGTCAGCACCAACTCATCCTCATGTGAAATGTAGATGCCACGTCATAATTTACTTTTTTCCCCTTTTATACCCCACTTTGAGTTTGGTTGAGATGCTTCTTCTTCCCTTCCGCAATTTCATTCTAGGGTTCCGTCCTCCACTCCTTCAATTTCTTCTCCTCGAACAGCTGCCACCGTCCACCGCAATGTAGTCACAATCGCGCTTTTGACTACATTGGTCCACCGCATTGGATCTCCACCTCCATCATTCCATGGCGGATGGCAGTGGCGGAGCCAAGTTGAGCCCAGGGTGGGCTATAGCCCCCCCTCCCCCTTCCCCCCTCTCTCCCTCAACTTTCATAAATAGGTAAATGTACATGGAAAATGTGTAACAAATTCTAAAAATAGACTAGTTGGTAAGCCACTAGCCCCCCTCACCAATGATCATGGTTCAAAACCACCCATGTGTATATCTTTTAGCCCCCCGCGCGTTCAAATTTCTGGCTCCGCAACTAGCGGATGGGTCTCGAATTTGGATCAGCTCTTAGGATTTCTCGCCGATGAAGGAGGCTCGTCAGTGAAACTTGAGTCACCAACCCTAGTGGTGTCGTCGTCGGCAGAGAAGGAGCCTGCGGTGGTGCGCCGAAGGGAAACTCGAAAGGGGAGTGCGGCAGAGGCCATGGGGAAAGTTTGCGGCGAAGATCCGTGACCCAGGAAAAATGGGGTTTAGGTCTGGTTGGGTACCTTCGGGCCATCTTCACCCTTTTTCTCCTTCTTCATCCACCATCGATCTCTCCTCGTCCTCTCCTTCATCTCTACGCCTCACACCACCCCCTCCATGGCGAAGGCAAAAGACGGTCATATCTAATTAGATTCAAAGCCGAACCTCGTCCTAATTTCCACTAGGCTTCTCCACCGTCGCCACCGCCGCAACATCCTCCCCGCTTCTGAGATGGGTGACAAATCACCAACGAGAGCTGAGATACACCGCCGAAGTTGGAGTTTCGATGTCGCTGGTCCTTACTCGTCGAATAAACTAAGATCTTGTCACGATTATAGTGTCTGATTCCGCTCTGATTTATTTGGTTGTGGAGTCGGCACGATTATTCAATTTGGGGGGTGGGGAGATGGAGATGAATAGGAGAGCTGGGTTGGGGGTTCTTCTTCGTCGATTGAAAGAGAAGCAATCGAAGGTGGATAGGATGTAACCGAAGGGAAGGGGATGCAATTACCGTTCCTATGTTTTTTTGTATTTCGAATTTTTTAAAGTTAAATCCACGTGGCAATGTTATTGACAAAACGTTGCCATGTCACCGTTTCTGTTAGTCCATTCAGCATGTTAGATAACACCGTTAAAAAATTGGACGAAAGTGGCTATAAGTTGTAATTATCCAAATTTGGCTATTATTGGCACAAACGCGAAAGTTTTGGCTATAAAAGTGTATTTTGTCTTTTTTTTTTTGAAAAGTTGACCCACATAAGTGTGGGGTAAGACAAGGGTACTACTTTCATTTTGCTTTGCTCTGTTAGAGGTGTTAATCGGGTGGGTTTGGGTTGGGTTCAATTGGGTTATGGGTTACTCGGGTTTCGGGTTCATCGGGTTTCGGGTTCATTGGTTCGAGTTAGTCGGGTTACGAGTCAGTCAGGTTGCGGGTTCATCGCATTTTGGGTTCATTGTTTTACGGGTCAAGCGGGTTACAGGCTAGTCGGGTTGCGGGTTGTTCGAGTTAGTGCTTTATGTTGCTTACTCTTTACTCGTTGCAATTTTAGCCAATTTTTTTCTACCTCGTATATGTACTTATAGTAGATAAAAGAAAACTATCAAAGTGTTGAATTAGTTTTGTATTCTTTTAAATGATTGAGTTATTGCAATGTTATGACTTGCAAAATTTCCATGTGATTATTAAACGTGAATACAATATGGATAAGTAACATATAAAATATGAATATTAAACGTCACATATGAGTTTTATACGTGTTTAATACGAGACCCATCAAATAGACGGGAAAAATGAAACAACTCGACAATAATACGTATACACATGTTTAAACGGAAAAATACGTACATCCATATATATATATGCATATTAAACGAAGTACTTACTAACTATGGTAATTGGTAAAACATTCATTCATAACCCAAACATTCATTCATTCATACCCCAAACATTCACAACCTGTAACTAGGGTTCATTTATCCTAAACAACCATTTGAGATTCAAGTCATTAGAGAGAAGAAGAAAATACAAAGTAGAAGAGGGGAATGATAGAATCAAGCTTCTTCTCCTTGCTTGCACCTTCTCCTTGCTCCTTGGGTTGAATGAATCTTTAATGAAGCTCTCCCAAGGTGTTTCTCTCTCTAAAGCACTCCAAAACCCTAATTTTCTCACCCGCAAGCCGGATTTCCTTTGAAAAGTGCAGCAAGAGGGGTATTTATAGAAAGCTGATGGCAGTCAACGCCTCCAGGGCGTGACCCGATGATCACAACCGTGACTAGGGCGTGACCAGCTGGAACGTCTTCGAATCTCCCAAAACGATGCATTTTGTCCCATCTTTAAGTCCCGAGATCACGACCTCTTTCAAGAGAACACGGGAGCGCTCTTTTGTGCCCCGGGCGCGATCTTTATCGTGGCCAAAACGCACCATGACCGCGATGCGAGTGAGGAAAATATCTGCCTTCTTTTTGGTCGCTTGCTGGAGATCGTGGCCACTGATTGCGACCACGATCACAGGACGCGATCATCGTCACGACCTGGTCAAGGGCAGTGACCTATGGCCGTGACCAGTGCTTTCTCTCAATCGTGCCCGGATGAACTCCAATTGATTCTCGATCAATCCCAAATGATTATAAGACCTGGAATTTCATCACAAACACTTGGGAAAGCATAAAATACCACAAATTGGGGTCGGTTTCCCTATGAAAACCTTCATATCAAGAATACCTATGCTGAAATGCATGTTTTACAAATAGGAATGAAAATGAGCATAAATAACTTGATATGTGGCCTAGAAACGGTGATTTGGCATGCAAATGCCTTGAGAATAGAGCCTAGATAACACCTATTTTAGGTGTTATCAAACTCCCCCACACTTATGCATTTGCTTGTCCTCAAGTAAAGCTACTCAAACCAATGCAACTTAATAAACAAATAAATGTGAGATGCACTCTACTTCTTCATTGCATAAAGAAAAGTAAACAGAGACGAGAAAATGTTACTATCATCTCACTGTGCAAGCACAAACTCCCGGATGAGGATCATACTTACTACCTTAGGACGAACATTCAAGGTGTGCTCTGGGGTATTCTCAAACAACAAATAAGCACATGAACTCTCAAAGGTGCTCTCTATTCTCTCTTTAGATTTAGGAGTTGTCATTTATCGGTGACCTTTTTCGACATTGACGCGCATTGCATCAAGCTTTTGCAATTCTTTTGCAAACAAGCCTCTCTCCCTCATGACCAAGAGCGGATGAATCATAGCCTTCTCTATCGAGGTCACATGTGGGGAAGTTGATGGGCGGATTTGTCTTAGTCCAAGCACCACTTCCCAGTCTACACTCCATATTGGGTTGCCACACATGCGGGTACAAATGAGAGGTTTTGAGGTCTCATGAATCGCTAAAATGTACCTTTGGTCCTTAGCATACGATTTTGTGAGGAGGAAAGATACTTGGGGGATGGTAAGTAGTAAAGATGGTCGGGACGCGGTAAAGCTATCCGATCCCCAAGTATATCCTCAAACGGCACTCCAAATCCGTGAGGATTGGTTGCCTCTCACGTGAGCCTCAATATAAAATGATTTATTCTCTCTTTTCTTTCTTTTCTAATACGCACAAACTTGCAAAGGCTTTGAGTTCACTAGACAAACAAAGAGAATCCCGCATAAAAGTTCTTCCTAAAATAACAAATATTATCAACTCGTAAAAGAGGAAGAAGATAGTAAAATCCCTCAAACACCGCTACTCTAATCATGCAACTATCACCTAGCGAGCACAACACATCAATCATCAATCAATTCAATGCATAATGAGTAGGGAGAATGCGAAAGGGTCCCACTTGGAGACGTCAAATTTGAAAAAATTAGGGCATACATAAAAGGCTTCAAAGTGGTTAAATTATGCTAAATCATCGTCCACAATCACTCTAAAAGCACACCCTCTCGTGATCAAGCTTTAAACATTCATGGGATAGGAAGAGAGTAATCAATAACGAAATTCCACACAAATATTCGTGCATAACCTCCCCCCCCCCACCACTTAAAGAACACATTGTCCTCAATGTGAGAAAGGTAAAAGGATAGGAGAACGAAGTTACCAAAATGCTTTGTCGAAGTGATTGGGGGATCGAATGATAGGGTAGGTCGGTTTGATCCTTGAGAAACATCCATGAAAAAGAAGCTAAGAAGAAGATTAATCATACCCACAAAAGTAAAATTAAACAACAAGTACTAATTATATATAGAATAGGTTTTAAGAAGTACTTAAAATAAAAAGCACACACATACTACTTAAATATCCTACAAAGTTCATTAGTCAAACGAAAAGGAAAGATGAGAAAAGGGGTAGAGAAATGGCCCTCGATGCCATCCACGCCATAGAAGGCTCACTCTCCGTCGTTGTCCTCGTCGGATGCCTCAGAGATGGCATCGTATGTGATCTCGAGGTAGTCCATGATCATTCGTTTCCTCCTCATCCGGCATTGTTAAAGTCTTTTCACCAGACTTGACTCTTTGAGATCAAAAGGTAAGAGCTCCATTCTCCACTGATGATTCTTAGTAGAAATCATACTTGTGGTGGAGTCCCAAGTAAAGACCATGGAGTCTCTTGGTTGCCTCATCCGGAGCTTGAGATTTAAAAGAAATATCAGTGGATTGGTGCTCATGATTGAAAGAACTAAACTCCCTTGTGTAAATGTCCTTATCCGTAAATTGCTTATAGCATTCCCTAGAGTCTTCATCTTCGAATATAGGAGCTAGTTTGTTCTTAACATTTCGAATGCTTTCCTTGGGGTATCTTTCTTCAAATATGAATTCTAAATTTCCTTCTATGATCATTGGCTTGATGAGAAACTATGAACAACTCTTGAGTAGCCCTTTTGTAAGAAAACTTTTATTTACCCGGTATCTTCTTAATCTCGCAAGAATCACTCCCACCTTCAAATCTTCTATCATAAGGGTCAACATGAGAGACCATATTGAACCATTCTATCTCGAGGCTTGAAGGTGGTGTGGTAGGAGGTGTCACTGGCTCACAATCCATCTTGACGTCGTCCATTTGCAATACTTGTGAAACTTGGGGGTTGGAGTCATCTTGTAGCTTATCTCCTCCTCTCCAAACCATAAGGTAATCTTGCTCTCACTCACACCAATAATTGTCCTTGTCGTAGCTAAGAATGGTCGGCCTAGGATTATCGATACATCACATCCTTTCGTTTCAAGAACCACGAAGTCCACAGGATAGACAAAATGTGCACATTTCACCAAGATATTTTCTATGATTCCTTTTGACTTGACAACGGACCTATTGGCCAACTCAATCCGCATTTTAGTAGGTATGAGTGGTCTAAGGTCTAACTCCTTGTATATTCTTGTAGGCATAACATTGATACTAGACCCCAAATCTGCTAGCGGATTCCAAAAGGTTTTGACTTTGAAGGTGCATGGAATAGTGAAGATTCCCGGATCTCTTAGTTTTGGAGGGAAGCCTTCACATCCGATGGACGCCGAAGCAACTTCACTAACGAATACCATAACAACTTCTTCCATTTTCCTCTTTCCCGACAATATTTCTTTCAAGAACTTAGTATATTTTGAAATCTTCATAACCATGTCTAAGAAAGGGATCGTTACCTTCAATTGCTTCAAGGTACCCTTTCATGGAGCACATTCATGATATAGATCACTTTCGAATAACTGTCTATGATAAGGAGGTTTTGGTGTTGGATCGGGTGCTTGAATCTTCTTAGACTTCTCCTCATCTTTAATCTTGATTTTGGTAGTAGGTTGCACTTCTTCCCGAATTAAATATTTTTCTTGAACAACTTCACATTGAACTTCTCTTACCGGTATCCTCGGTGTTGAGATAGGAACCTCCTTCAAAAGTCGTCCACTCCTTAGAGTTATCGCATGACATCCCTCCTTAGGTTTACGCTCGGTATTGCATGGTAATGTTCCTTGTGGGCTGCCTCCAGGAGACTAGTGCAGACGATTTCTCCAGCATAAGACTAGCAGCTTGTACCCTTAAGAGGCCAGGTATATTAAGGCATGTGTCTACTTGTAATAACATAATCCACTGCGACGATAAATTTTTCTCTCCAACCCCTAAAGCTCGATGGTTTATTGATTTGTTAAATAACCACAGGGGACCGGT